ACTTCAATACTACCTACTCTCAGTAATATACATATTTTTATAATTATTCTTATCAGGGTGTCTATTCTCGTTCTCCGTCAGACGTTTGTCCGAAACAATTACTATCAAATAAACAATACTAGTCCATTTTAAAGGACGCATGATACAAACGAAGCTTCCTACTCGTATTTGACACTGTCTTTTGTTTTGGTTGAGTATTACTTATTTGACAATAATTGTTTCGGACGGACGTCGGTCGAGCAGCAGGCTGCGATCCGATCGGGTAGTCCATCCGAGTCTCGAAATCAAACGGGTTTTCGAGCAAGAAGATGAACCTGCAGCTTCATTTTGATTGCCTGACCCGATCGGAAACGTCTTTTCCGAGTCGAGTAGTTGATTTAACTCACAAATTAGAAAGATTTAGTATAGATATAGTAGGAATCAGGTTCATCTTCTCGCTCAGAAACCCATCTGATTTCGAGACTACCCGATCGCTGATCCCTACTATATATTTCTAATTTATCGAGCGTGACATTGACAAGATGGACAATAAATTAGTTACACTAATAACACGATATATAATAATATTTCGACATAAACGTCAACCAGTGTTAAGAATGACTTGAATAGATTGGTAGTTGGTTTTGTAGCAATACAGAATGATAGTGCACCAATGGGCGTAAGTAACTGGCTTAATAGTGATTAATAATAATAAACCATAATGTCTATAATATTTGTTAGTAGGTACAGAAATTATTCCTAGGTATTAAGATGTGAGCACAACGTACCGAGACAGTGAGAGGACAACTGGCAACGCATTGGCAGCCTGTGTGCAAGCGCATGCACCGGGCGCCCCGGCATTAGAGACTCCTATATACGTTCTACGTTCATATGGCGTAGAAATCGTCTACATGTTTCTCAGCAAACACGGCTGACACGCTACAGAGAGGGAGATAACGTTTGTGTTGTAACATACGTATAGGACAAATATGTTACCAACGTTTTAAAACCTTTTTTATATAATATTAAATGATGGGACGAACAAGTAGTGCCCTGATACGCGCCTGTCCATAACAGTTACAGTGCCACTCAGAGCTTTAAATCGCAAAGATCTGAGGGGCACTGCCACTGCGTCTGTCACCTTGAGAGATAAGTTGATAAATCCCATGTGGCTGTAATTTCACCAACACCCTTACTAGTCAAAACCGGAACACAGTAATGCTGATATTACTGCTTGGCAGCAGAAATAAGTAAGGTGGCAGTACCTACTACCCTGGATGAACTCTTTCACAAGTAGCTCTACTGCTACTAATGTAAAATGTGCCTGTTATAAAAAAATTGAATAACTTTATCTAATGTTGTCTCGTACGATGACTCTTTGTTTTCTGTCTTATTCTACATATTATGGTTGTTATTGATAAGAGTACCTTGTACTAGGGCACACATTTAGAGCATTATAGTTGGAATTGGCTTTTTTTTCTACGCTAACAGAAAATTAAAGAGGGTGTTCACATTCACGTGACATGGATAACCTTCACAAAAACAATCTTATTTCAATGCAAGCATAAAGTAAGCTTATTGTAATATTACTCATTTTCGTACCATGACAAACCTATCACGTAACCTACCAAGTAATGTATTATTGCTAAAGTGACTGAAAGAACAAACGATTTACCATAATGTCTATTCCTTACTAAAAGTAGGAAAGAAATAACGCTATATGAACTGTATAATGCCATCTCTTTTTTTTGATGTTCCGAATCGTGTTATCGTAATATAATGTTAAAGTAGGTACTTAATATTATTTACATTCAGAGAATTTTAACTGCCAAAACAAGAAAAATATGTAGTAATGAAATCTATTAAAATTACGTCGTTTACAATTATTATTCCCCTTTTTCATGGAAATAAATAAATAAAACAAGCTGAGTCTTAATTGTCACGTTGTGAATTCGTAACTATAGTCTACTATCAAGGAGCATATAGGTGGGGCTGTCATAATTTTACGAAATAAACATCGCGTATTTTTATTTTACGAGAAATTATTTCCTATGTGCTAATAAATAAAAAATAAACAAAATATTGAAGAGAAATATGTAAATAAATAAGTTCAACTTAACTTTTAATCATTACAAATCGATATAAAGACAATAAAACTGAAAATAATATTGTTTTCATTGCATTCGTGTAACTATTTTAAGATTGCTAAATTTGACATAAGAGCAATATTACTTTACTGTCAAAGTCGCGTCCATAGTACGAACTGAGTGAATGAATAGTCACAAAGCTGCCAATAAAATATCATAGTTATAACATTGCAAATAAGCTTACTTTAAGCGCGTTATGGTACGAAAAGTCAATGTAAGGTTGAAGTAATATTGTTTTAAGAGGTTGTGGCAGACCCCCTGACCAGACATAAATTACCACGTGACGATAATAGATTACTCAGCAGTGCACTGACCGAATAGCAATGTACAAGACCAGCCTGCTCAGTCTCACTGCGGCCGAGACATCTTTAGCCGTCAGCTTATCTGACCAGTCTTGTGAATCTGTAAGATTGGCAGTGAGAAAATCCACTTCTTGCACCCCTTATCCTTCCAACCTTCCGTCTGTTACTTTAGGTCGCATGGTAACAGGTTTCCTCTACATATCTACATGCGTATATACATATAGTAGTCTATGGTTAGGGCTAGGCTGTTAGGTAGAGACGTAGGGTTGTTTGTGATAGGTTACAGCTTTCCCTTACCATTTCATGCATAGCCAGCTAGCTTTGATTACACATACAAGACCATACTCAACAGTAATACTCCTATCACATCCAACAAATACTACCCAAAGATAGAGATAAAGTTAGTTACATTTTGGTCCTTCGAGAATTTTTTAACTATTTTTTTAACTATAAACTAACTATAAGAAGGGTCCTCTTACCCTAGGGAATTGACGTTGACAGACTGACTATTTTAGAGAGCTGCGTGTTGATGTACCCCTCAAAGCACCAAGTACGTAGTAATCTAAAAGACTAAGTACTTAGTGTAACCTGTGGGAAAGTACTCGCAAGGTAGCGGATCCGCCACTGGCCTCCCAGAAGCGGGTCTCACCAGTCGATTGAGAAGTCGCACAATACCGTATTTAGAGGCACAGGAACACTAAGTACTGACTTTTAGTTTGATAGGAGTAGGGTAGGGTACGTAGGATAGCAAGTAAGAAGAAAAGAAGACACAATGGATATTTCAAGAATCAACGAACTCATCAGAAGTCAAGAAAATGATTATAATGAAATAAGAAGGATTTGGAATAATATCAAAAAGCATTCACCGGCAAGAAAGACACAAAAATATGTTAAAGACAGAAAAAGTACTTTAGACAGCGTTTATCAAAGAACACTACAAAACCACAGACTTTTAGAAGACCAAGAAATTATTTCGACCCATAAATACAAGACGTTAAACTATTACGACACACAAATAAGGAAAATCTACGACGTGGCCTTAGAACATTTAACTAAATGCGAAGTCAAACTACAACATTATAGATACTGCGGGCCGGAGGATTTAATTTGAAAAAATGATCGACAAATAGCGCCGAATTATTAGCAGACATTCCCGAAGAATACACAGACGATAAAATGATCAAACTACCCTTGGACGAAACCAGAAAGTCACTGGAAGTAATTTGGTCACCAGACGAAGATAATTTTCAATTTAAAATGACCGTGACAACCATGGAGAATCCGACAAAAAGATTTATTTTATCAGAAATCGCGAAATTATTTGACCCACATGGCTGGCTTCAACCTGTCATAATTACATAGAAACTAATCTAAACTAATACAAGAGCTCTGGACAAGTGGAACAGACTGGAATGACACAGTACCAGAAGAAATAAATAAAAAATGGATTGAGATTCAAAAACAATTAAAATGCATAGAAAATATTAAAATACCAAGGTGGATTTATTATACCTGCACAGAGGTCGAGTTGCACGGGTTCAGTGACGCATCAGAAAAGGCATACATTGCAGTCGTGTATTGCCGTACAAAGGTGAATGACTCTTTATTACGTTATATTATTGCAAGCAAAGACATAAGTAGCTCCTAGGAAGCATAAAACGACCTTGCCTCGTCGCGAATCATGTGCAGCTGTTTTATTGACGAAATTAATTAAGAAAGTAAAAACAGCGCTCGATTGCGAACACACAACAATCAATTGTTGGACAAACTCTATGATCACACTCGGATGGATTAGAGGAGAATCCATATCCATCTGTTAGCCAAAATGGCAAACCTTTGTTGCTAACAGAGTATCTGAGATACAACAAACGTTACCACAGGCAACATGGAGTCACGTTGCGTCTGCCGATAACCCAGCAGCGACTAACTACAAACATGCGAATTATGGTGGAACGGGCCGAAATGGCTCCATACAATCAATTTTACTATCACTAAAGTGATACCAGGGTCCAATGAAGAAATAAAACGCTGTCATCAGACATTAGTTGAGATAAAGAAGACAACAAATACTACACAAAGACAGAGATAAAGTTAGTTATACAGAGGGGATCATGTAAAATTAATTGTTAAACATTCGTGGTACCACCGTACAATTACGAGAATACTCACGTACACCTAGTACGTAGTATGTCTAAAGTATAATCGACAGAACCCTGATTTGTTACATATGAGTTTTAAATTCAACTTTATGCAACACTCTATAACCACAACACAAACTTTTCTATAAGCAGACACGAAAAATTATGCCCAATTAAAGAACAATTTTTACTAAGAAGAATATGATAAATAAAAGGAATTTTACAAAATGTTGCTCGACACAGATTATTTCACTCACGCTCCTTATTGTGTTCCAACTAACGTCTTCGTCAATCGATGAAATGAAAAACATTAAATTTTAATATCACATTTATTACCTTTATATGGCCGCTAGGTATATTGTGATGATTTAGATCTAAATTCATCATTACAAATCATAAAGCGTGTCTCAAATGAATAAATTAGGTAAAGCACCATACACAAGTACACCATTAATTAAAATATTCAATATCTGTGTCAAGAATCTAGTAGGTATTAATAAAATATATCATTCGAAACACCCTGTATAATTCATGACTTCAATGCATTCTTATTTGCAAACAATAATAACAACAATCCAGAAATTTACATTACCGCTTACAACAGACTAGACGTTGTAAATACAATAAAAACAAAAAGTAAACAATAAGCTATAATAAACATTTATTTTGATTAATTATAATATAGTTTATAGTGGAAGCGAAAGTAACTTGATTCAAGTCAGAATTAGGAGATCCCCCGAGTGTAAAGTAATAATTTGTACTTATGTACAAAACAAAACGCGACTATTCTTAAATAGGTATATAAAAATTACATGTGAGTTAATAAGGTAAAAAAATAAAAATCTATCCTCGTTCTCTTTTCGCGTAAAATATTTCTAGCACAAAACCAAATTTTCACATAAAATACAAAAGGGAATGCACTTGAACTGCGGGTGCTATGAAAATAATAATGAAATAAAAAGGCCTCTCTTATATTTACAATAAAATTAAATGGTGGGGTTCGTAAAATATAAATGGTACGTATTCTTTAGTAGCAAGAGCATTCATGTTAAAACACCATTTTTAACAAAAATAACACATCTCTAAATACAGTAAAATTACTAATTAGCACATAGCTGCAAAATTTCAATTAATTTGCTTAGTTTATTTGAACAAATGTGTAAAACAACATGGTCTAACTTTGTGTGTGTAACTACATAACACAATGTTTTACCAATATTTGATATAACTGAACCAGTAACTCTACTGTACATATACCATTTGCTGCAATAGTTCTGGATTGCTACAAATGGGAAATGAAATTGTTTTTAGGATCTAAAGCGCGTATATCTGCTCTTTCAAACAAACCATCGACTCTTGACTTCCATTTCCAATACACCTGTAATTCATTTTTTTTTATTTTCATCGTAGTATTTTCTATAGTTTTATGAAAAAAGTATTTTACTAAAATATACTGGACATAATTATGAACTGTGGTCTTTTTCTTACATTGACATTAAATACAACAATTATTATTTCAATACGTAAATGTAGGACGTCAGTGACACGTCGTCTTGGTAATTCAAAAGCAGATAAAGAGATCAATAATAAAATCTAATAGATTATTAAATTTAAAATTACTGTTAACACGATAAGACATTCATTTGACTAGACCATTCGGTACGTTGTTGACATTAATGTAAGTATTGGAGAAATTCTGAGGTTTCTTCTCGTCTTCTGATGTAAAAGTAATATAAGTGGGATTCGTCACTGCTGCACTGGGTTGCGTATTTCTAGCATTATTCTGTTTCATTTCAAATACTTCGTCAGATTCTTCCTCTATACGCGGACACATGTTCATGTAAGGCGAGCTGCTGCCCTCGTGATCGGATTCCGATCCACTTCTCGGCAGATTGTTTAAAGTCAACATAGGTGTAGACTCTGATCCGTAACTATTCGCCTCAGAAGCTCTCGGGGACAATTTTCGAGCGTCGAAATCGAATTTGGTACCTTGAACGCGTGCGTTGAATACGCTTTGTTTCACTGGGCTCATTGGTAAGTAACCCTCGTCGTCTGAAACATACAAGACGCAACAGCATTAGTTACATAAAAAGTATTAGACGAGTGGACAGCCGTGCAATATTAATTTTCTAAACTCGAAAACACCTAGTTACAGTATTAGTCACACATTTATCAATTCTTTAAAACGTTATTGTTGTTAGTAACATTGAACACCACACAACAGAACACCTAGCCATACCTATATAGTGTACTACGCTATCATCACGCGGACATTTCCATGTGGCCTGATAAACAAAACATTACGACATACCATGAAGCAAACTTTAAAATAGAGTAATTGCACATTGCATGTGCATGTAAGTCTTAAAGAAGACGGACTTAGGTATCTATTACATACATAGTTTACGGGTATAACTTTGTGAGATTTTTCACGTTCAATACTGCTAATATGGACCAACATAACATCGCACCCTTGGTGTAATAAAGCCACATCTGCAATTTGACAACCTTAAAAAATATTCTACAAACGAAATTAATCGGTTGTGCTTAACAAGAGAGTTGTTCAATATTACATAGACATAATTTTGTTTCTTTTTTGTAATATTAAGTGACGGGACGAACAAGTCGTGTGCCTGGTGGTAAGCTACATTCCTGCCCATAACAGTTCCAGTGCCAATCAGAACTTTAAATCACAAAGATCTAAGGGGCACTGTCACTTCGCCTAACACCCTGAGACTTAGGTTGACAAGTCCCGTGTGACTGTAATTTCACCAGCACCACACCACACAAAACTGTAACACAGTAATGCCAACATTACTGCTTGGCAGCAGAAATAGGTAGGATGGCAGTACTTGCCTGGACGAAATCTATCACAAGGAGCTCTACTCCTACTAAAATTTCGTGTAGTTCATATTATTTTTATGTTTGTCATGTGATAAAAACACTTCTTACGATCACACGTGACTTTACTATACCAGAAGTACGAAATGGCGACACCTCTTACTTTATTATCACATTTTACGCACACACGTAACCTATATATATATATATGTATATTTGTAACAATACAATCACTTTATCATCATGTTTGTTATAAAACATGCATATTTGTTCAAATTTTAAAAAATACGTATTGTTTGGTATATTTTGTAGACGTGTTCTGATGTACCTGTGTAGAATATGATATAATAATATAATAAGGATGTCCAAAAACACCTCTTAATTATTTTTGACGTCCTTACGAAATTCCATTCCGATATTATTATATTATAATATATCAATATCTAGTTAATATAGGTATCTATACCTAACCTAGTGAAGTTGATTAATATAACTTGAAAATATGTCATTTGTTTGGGTAATATCGTATTTTTGCCTGGAGTTAACGTTACTTTAGTAGTCTTAAAACAAAGATTTAGTTGGTTTATTGATGTGACTGGACTATGCACGAGATATTACCTATTACAATAATAATTACTTTTTAATAATTAATTATTTTAATAGGTAATAAAAATTACCTATTAAAATAATATATTTAAATAAACAATATACATAAGAACTCTCACCGTGTTGCAAAGGCTGCGGTGCCGTTGGAAAGAAGTTGACATAATCGTTGACGTAATGATGCGGGCTGGGGGTCACGAGGTTATTGTAATCCGGCGCGGAGACCATAGCCAGGTAATCCTCGGTCTCCCGTTTACTGTTCATGTCCACGTACATCGCGTTCAGGTCCACGTAGTGCTAGTGGAAGAAGTATTATACATTTATAAAAAGTGCGTAGTATAACGGAAATAGCATAATGAGTATTACACCGCAACACAACCCTCAGTTACATTGATATATACATAAACTGTCGTTTTTGCACATTGCTTTAAACACTCCTAAACAACCAGACTTAATATTGAATTTCGTTTGTACTTTAGATATGACGTAGGATATACAGAAAGGGTTCATTCCGGTTGCAAACTTTTCGAAATGAGTTCGCGTCTGCGTGATCTGAATTACTAAATACTAAATACAATGATGTTATGTACAAAAGGTAGACGGTAAGCTTGTTTTCTGTTGGTTACTTTAGTCTTCAAGAAATAGTGCTTAACAAATTCGTGTCATTTACACCAAGCTTGTCAAAGATTCGCTGACTTAATTTAGAAACGGTAATTTAAAGAATAATCATACTAAACGTGGTCAATGACTTGCGAAAGTTGAACCTCTAAAGATTGGTGACATAATAATAGTTTGTAGAGTCTAGCTTTAAGCTTCTTGAGTCTGGCTAACGCTTACATTATATCCTCTAAGGGCTAACGAAAGATGAGACTGAGATTTTTTTTAAATCTAGCTGACAACCCCAATATTTATGTCACTGTTTGAAAGTTGGTTGGTTTGTAAGTTGAATTGTACGTACGGCGCACTATAAGTTTCAGGAACGTATAAAAAAATACTATAAATGGTCAGAAATGAATTTATTGTTACTCAAAATATTCTCCGTTAGCGTTAAGGCACGTTTTGGGATCGTAACTATAAATCCATATTTCGCCACCTGTTACTATATCCCACACCAAATTTGACGCCCCTTCGTTGAATCTGGTAAGCATGGCATTGCACCAAGTGACGCGGTCCGTTTTTTGAGCCTCAGTCAAATTGTGTGGTATCTACCGAGAGCGCAGCTTTTTCACACCCAAATGTTCGTTTAGTATTGATTGTATTTGACTCATGCCTATGCCTTAAGCTGCCCGAATCTCATGGTATGTCACATGCCTGTCTGTTTTGTTTTGTCTGATTTATCTACCAATAAAAATAATACCTTGTAAATATGTGGAAGTTAAAATTTTCGGACTTTATTGTTATTAGTTAATTAATTGAAAGCATGTATTTTAATTTATTATGTATCTTATTCATTGACATTTTGTGATTTATTATAAAAACTTATACCTCTGTAAATTTGCTATGCCCTTACAGGGCGTTACATGATACTTGTACAATAACCAACCAACTTAAATTGTATTTTATATGTCTTACTGTAACACGCAAATAAACTATTTGACTTTGACTTTGACTTTTGATCAAATGGCGCACATCATCGATGTTTTTGTTGTTCACAGCAGTAGACGGGCGACCATCACGAAATTCGTCACTGAGATTCACACGACCGCGTTTAAATTCTGCAAACCAGCTATAAATAGTCGTCTTGCATGGTGTTTCATCGCCAAAGCAGGTTGAAACCGAGCGAAGCTCCGCTGAGCTGTTAAATTACAGTTAAAGTCGTAGAAAATCATACTACGAAAATTTTGAAGAGTTAAATCTATAGTGATGTAGACAACCAATTTCTAAAATGACGCCACAATGTAAAAACAAGTGACAGTCAGATGAAATAAACTGTATTCTATAGCCAAAGAGTTTCATTTTCAAATGTAATTACTTTTCAAATATTGTTTATGTAACTGGCCAGTTCCGGAAATTTATAGCGCGCCCTATGTATTATCTGCGATTTTTGTGATTTTCTAATAATATGATGAAGACTTACTATGATTGGTAAATTTAAAGAGAAACAAGTGAAGATACGAATCGTTTTCAAGCAAACTCAAGAATATTTGCGTGAATTTCCGATTTCATTGGTTAGCACAACGCAATAATTTAGATCTTTTCCATGAACTTTGTAAAGTTTTGCTAGTCTTTTTAACAGATGATAAGTTTATTTAATTCTAATATATTTATTCATGGGGAATATGGAACACTATGAGAAAAAAAAGACCTCACATGCTCACAGTTTCAGATTTGTATAGTTTTGATATTAATGCTATCAGAGAACGGTACAGAATTACTTAAGACATAAAAGAAAGTGAATGCAGTTGTTCCGATACATTATTTGAGGTTAATTTTTAAGAGTCTAATTGAGATTGTGATGTGTAAATATAAAATTACAACAAAATGTGTTTATTTTGTCTAAATTATGTCATTATAGAGCCTTCGGGTATAAACCTCCGCCAACAACTTAATTATGAACACATACATGATATGACAGAACAATTCGTGAAATAATTTTATACCCATTGTACTTGCTTCAATATTATTTTTTCCTTCTACACCCGTGATACCATATGAAATTTTCGTTAATTTTCCCGCGTTTTTACAGTCTCATCTTTCGTTAGCCAGACTCTAACATGAAAAATTGCTAGCCTAAGGGTATATATGTTTGTCACTCAAACTTACCCTGGCTCTGACGGATAAGTCATGATAGTTGACATGAAAACCGTATTTGGGACATAGTTTAAAATGAAGTTAATAAAATAAAATTAAATAATAACTGATAAGCGACTCTCGACCTTTACCAGCAAACTGAATTTTTTTATTGCTAATGAAAAAAATTTCACTTTCAATAATGGTCAAATTCCGTGATGAAGATTGTAAATTTGTTTGCTCCGAAAACTTAGAAACGGAATTTCCAAATAACAACGTTTGTGTCTAATGTAGTCAGTTATCTATGTGTAATAGAAATACTTTGCATGTTTCTTTCATTAATTGGGTACAACGACTTTCTGGTCTATGTATTCATCAGGATATTAAGATATAGTAAATTGTAGGACTCACTCGCACGTAAAATTTAGGAGTATATTTTTAATGGAAATTACATAAGTCCTGAATAATTGCCATATAATTCAAAACTGTCATTCGAGCCTAAGCATAACTTTTTTTTATTTAGCGGGACCAACAAGTCGTGCGCCTGGTGGTAAGCGTCACACCTACCCACAATAATTGCAGTGTCACTCAGAGCTTTAAATTACACAGATCTGAGGGGCACTACCCTGAGACTTAAGTTGATAAGTCCCATGTGCCTCTAACTTCACCAGTACCCTACCCTTCAAAACCGAAATCCTCACATTACTGCTTGGTGGCAGAAACTGTGCCAACTAGACTCACAGCCTGTACACACTCCGACAGACTCGAATTGACATTTTTTAATTTGAGACACGACTTTTTCATCTATAGACAGGCATGTTATTATTATACTTACATTTCTGACATGGTCTTCGAGAAACGAACCAAGAGTCTCTTGCAGCTTAGTAAAGGAAGGTCGTGCCGTTGGCTTCTGGTTCCAGCAGCTCTTCATCACGTCATACAACTTATCGTCCGCATAAACAGGTTTTTCCAGGCGATTCCTAAACATATAACATGTGTCAATCAGCAAGTAACTAAGAATAGAGATTTTATCTATATGTAACGTGAATCAAGTTGCCAGCTCATTCATCCTCGTTCCGGTAGACTATGAAATAAGATGTAGAAATATATTTAATAAAAACGTACCCTTCCGAGAGCCACTGCAATAAACTAGGCGGACTAATGTTCGGGTATGGTGTCTTGGCTAACGAAAAGAGCTCCCAGAGTACGATACCGAAGGACCAGACATCCGACTGTGTCGAGAAGATCCTGTCGGTCATGCATTCGATGGCCAGCCATTTCACTGGTAGTGGACTCTGAAATACAATAACATCCACATTTGCGTCAATCAACTAGATTTTATTATCGACACGTCAAACAAGTCGTGCGTTTGGTGGTCAGCGACACGCTTACCTATAACAGTTACTGTGCCACTCAGAGTTTTATACCGCAAATTTTAAAGAACACTGCTACTGTACCTGTCACCCCGGAGATATAATAATGTAATTTCACCAACACCTTTATTTACCCTTCAAAATCTCAACGCAGCAATGCTCACATTAATACTTGGCGGCAGAAATAGATAACGTGGCGGTATTTCTCTAGACGAACTCTTTCACAAGGAGCACTACTGCTACTAATTATGTGGTGTCTGTTAAGAGTGATGCGTTTTGATTATTTGATACACAACTATTTGGTGCATCTAAAAGATCTTTCCTACGTAGGTTGCAACTTTTGTTTTAGGTAGATTTGTTTCCAAGATTAACGTATCCAATTAGTACAGAAAGTCTTCTCCTATTTCTTGGTAACCCATTAAACTATACTTTCGCTAACCTCTATATTATCGCATTTGCAAAGTTACTGGAAACGTTTCCTTACAATTAGTCATTTACAGCTAAAGCAAGAGATATATTAGTAATCCAAGCAAATGAAATTCCAAAAGCCTAGAAAATATTTCGAAACATTATGAATATTACCCATTTAATAGGTCAAAGTTCGTCTATGTTAATTTCGAATCCATATTAATAGCACGAGCCAGTCCCATATAATATTCATGGCATAGAGCTATCGGTCTTGCAACATTATAACTTACATTTTCCTTCTTTTGGTACTCATCGTTCTTGTAAATGCTTCTGGCTAAGCCAAAGTCGCAGATTTTTACGACATTGTCGTCGGCTAACAGTATGTTTCGTGCTGCCAAGTCCCCGTGTAACACCTGAAAGATGATTTCAAAGTAGGCATTATGTCAAATAGTCCACAAACGTAATATTCAGCTATTAATTATGTTTTGAAATAAATATACGCGATTAAGAGTGGTTACACACGGCGACTTTAGCGCGCGTTCATGAAACGCGCGATTGCATCGCTACACCTGCGATTTATAGATTGCATCTATGCAAACGAGCGACTGCATCGATACAGTCGCTTATGGTTAATAATTATGTACGAAAAATCAGTATAGGTTCATGCACAATATTTTGTTTTGTTAATTGTAAATTTAAAAGTGAAATTAATAAATACATTAAATAAATAGATTAGTTAATTAATTTAAAACGTGCATCGACTTTACAACACGTTTGTATCGCGTTTGCATCACGTTTGCATCGCATTTGCATCGCTACTAAAAGTCGCGTGGGTGTGTAAAGGTAGACCATTAGCGAATACATCGCTACTGCATCGCGTTGGCATCGCTGCTAAAAATCGCCGTGTGTAACCGCTCTTAGATCCAAAAATTGCTTCGTGTTCCCGTATGTAACAATCGCGAAAACGTAAGAACTCAATTTTATTTTATAGTACCTACTATAAATATACATATGTTTACCTTTCTGCTAGCAAGATACTCCATGCCCCTTGCAATTTGGAAGGCCCAAGCAAGCAAGTCGCGTGAGCACAGCGGTCTTGGACTCCTCCCATCGAAGCTGTAGTCGCTCTCGTAGTTCGACCGCCATTCCGGCTGAACATACCCGCTCTCTGATACTGAAGCAGAGACGAATGAAATGAAACTTTACTGCAGTGTTCAAATGAACTATAGTTTGCTGTATTATAATAAAATAGATTTGCATTCTGTCGTACAATAAATTAAATCATGAAGTTACATCATCATGATTAAGTTAATTTCATGCAATTGGGTTATTTTACATTAGAAAACTGCAAATACCTAAAAACACTTTAATTTTTAAAAGACGTATATTCTACAGTAAAGTTAGTCTACTGTTATTACCAATAACAATAAATATGAATAAAAAGAAAATAAGTTGCCTTACAAAGACTACATTAAAACTAGCTTTTTATTGTAGGTAGTAGAATGACAAAAATAGAAATGCATAACAAATCTAAGAAACTGGCTTCTAGAATAGATTATATTCTTCATTCCTCTAATGTCTTCTTAAACCAATCACGAACAAATATAGCATAATATAACATATAAGTGTCTCCATGTAAACAGAAAACTAGGAATATGACAGGTCGTGGAAGTGTTGAGTTCGTTAAGTTAGTTAGGTCGTGATTAGGTCAATGATCGTGATGGTTTTAATTAGAATCATAAATTTCGAGATAACCATAAGTTAAATAAAATAATAAATAATAATAATAATTACGCACACACTCTACATAGCCCCGCACTAGGAAAATCTTGTTTCTCGAGTGCCATGGACACGCATACACCACCGCAAATTACACCCAAACTCAAAAGAGGAATAAATGTAGGTCATAGAAATATTTTTCCTGGCCCGGGAATCGAACCTGGGACCTCTGCTTGGCAGTCCGGCATAATAAAATGAGGACTGGCAGTTATATTTATTTATGGGTATAAGTGTGAGCGTGTTTATGAAGGGTGTATAATAATAATAATAATAATAATATTTATTTATTTTCACTCACAAAACCAGCTTAAGAGCTTGTTATATCTATGGGGCATAATACAATTTTATGATATCAAGCCGCTTAAATGTCTGGCACCCGTGATAGGGTTGAAAAGCCTGTATTACTGGTCACCAGACTCTCACCCCTCGAACAAGAAAAACCATTTTACAAATGTAATTAGCTCAATTTGAAAAGTTTATTATACGTATAAATGCAATATACTTACATATTAAATTAAACTTAAAGATTTATGCGTGAGATGTATGTGTAAGGGGTGTGTGACAAAGACATGTAATGATTGTGTATCCTAGTGTGTAGGTGACAAGTACATATGTATTTGTTTCACGTGCAGTTTACGGGAGAGGTATAATAAGTTCCTAAGCAGAATTATGAGAGTGTGTTAGTAGAGTGACCTTTGCAAGAATTTTTCTAGGGGGGAATATTGTTAGGGAGGTAATTAACTTCTTATAAAGATAATTTCCCAGGAAACTGAAAAACAGAAATGTCTGTGAGACAAACTAGTGTAGAATGGGTTGTAGGAGCACACAGTTCATTTTCTTCATCTTGTAGCCAAGATTGAAGGATCTTAAGGAAGTTGGGTGTGATTTCTAAATATCACTGAAAGAATAAAGAGCTGACGTACTGTAAGAACCTTCCATAATTTATAGAGCTCGTCTGTCGGAAACAAGAAAAGTAGAAAAGAAGAAACTTGGAGAACAGCCCTTTGGGCACGCTCAAATTTAATCATATGGTTTTAGGTGCACCGCCGCATGAGGAAATCCTAAAATGGATTGGCATAAATCAAAATAAACTGATCTAAGGACAATGCGGTCGGCAAAATATCGAAGCGTTTTAAATGTTTATCAATTTTCGAGTCCTAGCAGTTACCATTTCAATGTGATTCTGAAAACTTAATGCATGGGCATTTCTCAAGCTGCTGGCACGAGCAGATTGCAAAAGAATGGTTCTCTCAAAGATATTGGACACGGCAGAAAAATAGATAATTGTCTAAATATAATGGATTATTTCAAGAGCTAAACCAAAAATATATAAAAATAGACAAATCGGTGACACATGAATAGCGCTGAAAAATGAAATAGTTACAAACATTCAGAACTTAAAAGGTACGAATAAACGGCAATATTTTAATCATTTATATATCTGAAAGCACGGTTAGAATACCGAAATGAATTTAAAATTAATTTTCAGCATGTTCATCAGAGCTGACGCAATAAAAGTCTTGAGTAAACTAAAATACCTTGTTATTGAATTGAATAGAATATTAAAAGAAACTTTAAAGTTAAAAGTAAATAACCACGTGTGTACCCATTATATTTACAAGGAAGGAAGCACAGAACTAAAATTGTTCCACAAACTTACGTTTGCAGCTGAGAAATATAGTTGCTGTGATTGGTTTAGTTCCATATTTTTCAATCTACCCTAACTCTGTAAGTTAGTTCTATATTAATACTGCCATGTTTGTGTAGTAATTAGATCGTATTTCCAATGTAAATAAACTCATAGTGTTGAGTTGTCATAGAATATAGTCGCTCCTTTTGTCTAAATATGGCGTGAGGTTATTTTCCTTGGAGTGCGGTATAATTTGAATACGAACTAATATACTGTCTTAACTTGCATGGTAAGGCTGGAATTAAAATGACATTGATAAAGCTGAATGAAGAACAGACAATGTAAAAGGTCAATCGAGGCAGTCAACGCAATAGTCGAGTAAGTCCATGCAATGCATACAGAAGATAAGGGATTTAAAATTATTTAAATATAATTAAACCGTAAAAATATAAAAACCATATATCATTTTTTTATTACGTGAAAATAGCATCCAAACAATGATTATGTACTTTAATATCATTTATAATAACATTCTAGAAATGTAAATTAAAAGTGAGTTACACCACTTTTGCATTGATATTCAATTTATAATTTAAAATCAGTGAAATTGAGTATGTGATACAAGCCTAAATGAATTGTAATAATTATAATAATTGTCTACATATAATGGATTATTTCAAGAGTTAAACCAAAAATATATAAAAAATTAATTAATTAATTAATTATTATTTATTTTTTAATTACTTTGTCACACCATAATTACTCTTGCAATGATACAAAATATATATAAAAAAACTATAAAATTAATGATTTTAGTGATACACATTGGATAAAAAAAACTGCTATAACTCAAAATGCAACTCCCTTCTATAATCACTCTTGCAAAGATGTTATTTTGTAATACCAATTCGTTCTACGATACTGCGCAATAACCACAATTGATTGTAAGTACTAAATTGCTGCGACATTATATCATGACGTGTATGTACACATATAAACCATTTATTAAAATTATAGGTAGTTTAAAGTACTTTAAGAGTCTGACTTTAATTGAACAATGTATTAAAGTCAGCGAAAAAACAAATGACGCTATTCTTCCGAAATCTCATTACTAAGCTGAGATGTAGAAAACGAACTTTGACTTAGACAAAGCAAAAATGGCGAGATAAGCAAGTATTTCTTATTTACAAAACTAACTTTGCCTAAGTTTAAGGGCGCGTTCCATTACGTCGTGACGATAGATAGTCGTGCAGTTTAAAGTGTCGTAGCTTGTATATTTAAATGAAGTTGTTCACGCATAGAACAACACGATTAACTGGCCTTCACGACTTTTTTGAAGTTACGACGACAGACTATTGTGACAATGGGAAGAGCTAGAACGACAGTCGCCCAACGACAAATAAAACGTTACAACATAGTGGGAACGCGTCTTAAGAAGAAATGACGAAGTAAACATAAAGTTTTATTTCATTTCTTGCTCAAACTTGGTCAGCCGTAAGAAAAGATTTTGAAACGATTTAGATTGTCAATAAAAGTGTTGATAAATAATATAGATAAATAAAATAAATTAACTAAAACTGCGGTATTAAGGTTGATTACTATTTATTTAAAATTAATTAAATAAAGCACGACTTACTAGATGCGACATAAAAGTTAATTTCACGTTATAATAAAAAGAAACATCGTAAAATGAATGTGAAAATTCAATAAGAAAATAAGTATATGAGTGACTGTAATCAAATGCAAAAGCCTAGCATTGTGACGACGTGAGACGTGAGTAAAATTAGTACTCAAGACATTTAAGAATCAAAAAGCCATAAAGTATTATTCAAGTTATGTTACCTTTTACCAACTCCACTTGCTTGTTATGATTATCTGTTAAACAATTACAAATTAATTCTATGCATTTTCGTTAAAACCTTCCTATGTGTAATCTATGTGTAAATCAGGAAGAACGATTAGCTGGTATTGACCATTATCGCAGTTACATTTATAGCTACGCCGAAATACCAGACGTATATAACCAGAAATAGAGACGAAATAAGGGCTATCCATCCCTGGTAACTCATTAGGCAAATGGGCCTTATATCACTTTTAAATATCAACTGGCGTTCACAAATTAGGAAGCTGAAATAGTACAGCGCGAACAACTGACCTGTATGTACGTCTCCGTATATTCCTACAATATTCTGTATTTATTGTAATGAAGATAATGTCTCAAACATTGGGGAACAGTTCCATTCGATGGTGTGGGAAAAACAGCAAAACATCTGATTACAAACGAAATCACATTTAATCGGCAATTGAATATTAAATATGTATTTTTTCAATTTAGGTCTATAATAGCAAAGCTCAAGTTAAAGTGGTCGCTTTGAAGTGAAACAATTGACAACACCCATCAATTGTTTCGAATTCAGACTGGCCAAGAGGAGCTCAGTTGTCATCGTAAAGATTTGGCAGAATAGTTTTCAAACAAATTAAATGACATTTCGCTTCTATTTCTGGTAATATACTCGATGCTATAGGGATACATTACAGTTAGGATGAAATTAGTTCCCGTACCATAATGCTGGCACCAAGCAACGTCATACCTAACATAATCGTAGATAGTTTTTTATAGTGCTCATTATTACCTTTTCGGCAGGATCTGTTGGTAGTAGCTGTGTTCAAAAAAGTATGGTCTGTGTCCTGAGTGTGATTCGAACCGAAGTAGTCCGAATGATTTCTGTAAACGTAAACCAAATTCTTACCAGACAAAGCCATCGAAATGCTATTTAAGCAAACTCAATCTTATTCCTTGAATTGTAAAAGACACATAAAAACGAAAACCTGAAATAACCCAATATAACTCATTTATTAAATTGAAAGTGATTCAGCATGGTTCAGCAAAATATATCAAATAATTTCCTACATGAGAGTTATACAGGTACGCAAAATTCGTAGAAAAATTTAATTTGAATTTAGAGCCGATTTTATCACAAAAACGTTTCTCACCCGCTGTTCCCACTGCTACAGGAAAAACCTCTGTTGACTTTACCGACAGTTTTCTCAGAGTTCTCGTTCAACTGATCTACAAAGACCTCGCGATGTTTCTGAAGATAGTTGTGTATGTTCCCAAATTTGCAGTACTCGACTATCACGATCAGCTCGCCTGCAAATATAGACATGATTTCATGTTTAATACGCTATAAACGCACATATAATGTCATATACCGTATCATATCTGTACACAAAACAACACAAGTACGTCTCCATTATACTTGTTAAAAAAATAAAGAAGAATGTTACTTATGCAACATTTATTAACAAGCCAGACACTGTTTTTCATAAAGGAATTCGTTGTTGGAATGATAAAGAGTTACAAAAATGCAAAAAAAAAGGCCATATTCAGTCAACAGCGTGTTATGTTCTGTAATTATATTTGATTGAAACACGTCACAAATAATACGAGATAATTAATCAAAATATGTCAAGTAATACTCGATGAGTCACACTCGTAAGGCCCGTCTACTCGGTCAAGGTCCATCACACAGAAACTTGTAAACATGTAAACGGGTGTAAATAGCTTGCACAAGTTGACTCGCGATGAATGTGTTTTTAAAAAAATGTCAACAGCTTTAGCGTTCAAGATCGACTTGTTATGAAAATCGCCCTAGATGTGTGGAGCTCCTTATTGATTTGTTATACCTAAATTTGTCAAATTATTATTTTTCTTTAAGCAATTTGTCACTATAATTACTTATAAAATAAAAAAAGATCAAAGAATCTTTCCTCAAGTAATGTCTATTTACTTATAACTTTCTCAAAGAAAAATAGGGCAAATGTTCAATTTTACAATTAGCAGTGGCCAGCATTTGTTAACGCACACAGTTTTTAATGGCAATAATAATAAAATACAGAAATAGAGTTGACAAAGTACTTAAGAATGTGTCCTAGGTACTGAGTAGAACGGTTCATAATGTTGACCGTAGTCATTAGTTAGACAGGATCATTTTTATAGGACAATGTGGTGGCTATAAAATTTATTGAAATGGAAATAGCATTTTATATTGAATAGGGAAGACATTACTGTACGGGTAATTTTCAGGTTAGTTTTCTGTACCTAATTTCGGTGGCATGAAATATGAAACAATACCATAGAAATTATATAAAGAAACCATACCTGAAAATTGCCCATCCAGAATTATATTCCGTTATTTGTGTAGCTATAAGTCGTAACTTACGTTTTCCAACGTTCTTGGTACACGCGCCCAACAAATTGACGATATTGATGTGTTTTCCCAAATGTACCATAATCTTCAGCTCAGAAGCGAGCGCCTTTATATACATGTTGTCAGCTGTCTTCTTCACCATCTTCACAGCGACTGTGGTGGTCTCCTCAGCGTTGATAATGCCTCTTGCTTCAGCTTTATATACGACACCGAATGCTCCGGCTCCTAATTGCTTACCTATGAAATTGTGACAAGTTATTGAAGCAAGTAAATATTCGTGTGAAGCAAGAACCAACAGCTAAACAAATCTAATCGTCATATCAATATTTTCACTAGATCTATGTATTGTTGTTCTCTTATCACGCCGTTTTAATGAATAGAGCTGTTAAAGTATGTAGTTATTGTATTTAAAACGATTAAACTCTAGTATCTTTATCAATGCATTATACTTCTATAGCCGACTTGCTCTAGCATGCGTGGTGATTATGACAAACAATTATTTTTGTGAAAAATTACTCATTGCTATCTATTTTTAAGATACCTATCGGGACAAACTAGTCATGCACTTGATTTTAAGCGACACGCTTGTCCATATCAGTTGTAGTGCCACTCAGAGCTTTAAATCGCAAAGATGTGAGGGACCCTGTCACTCTAAGACTTAAATTGGCAAGTCTCATATGCCTGTCATTTCATCAGCACCTTTACCCTTCAAAACTGGAACACAGTAATGCTGCTGTACTTCTCACGTTATTACTGTTTGGTGGCAATAATAGGTAAGGTGGCATTACCTGAACGAACTCTTTCACAAGGGAACTCTACTGCTGTTAAAATTTTACGCATTATGTGTAAAACTTACCTAAAACTAGTTTATCTGAGGGAAATTCAAACTTATCGTCGTAGGGCAAAAGTTCAGCTTGCTCATCAATACCCAAGTCTGGATTAATAGACTTCTTGACTCCTTCCTTGAAGTACAAAAGTCCAGCCGCAGCTAGTTCCTTTCGGAATTGCTTCTCTTTCTTTATCTTCCATGTGAGATACGCTACTAATAGGATGAGTAAGAAAAATATCACTCCTATCACTATTAGATACGTTGTTTTATTTGTAAATTTTTCTGAAATAAAATTTTATAATGATACTTTTTATAAAAAAGCGCTCTAATCTTTCAAAAATGCGAATAAATATTTATCTACATTTACTGCATTTTTACGCATTTCAGTTGCAAAAGCGTATCATTTACCATTTACAGCTAGTGTATAAAATTTGCTGCGCATTTCACCGTTGCTTAGTACTCTACATTCGTATTTTCCTGCAAGTTCTTCACTCATTGATGCAATTTTAAGTGTTGAAGTCAATGTACTCTTAGTAGGACGATTATCAATTATCATTAACTTTTCGTCTGGTATCAATCTTTCTTGATCCTGGAATTAATTAAAAATAAACATTATGCTAAATTAAGTCATAATTACGTCATTCACTGAACGCTCTATAGGATCGCTACCCTATGGTGCATTTCATCAGGTGCCATATTTCCTTATACAAAACGACTAAGCAAGACAGGCTAAGACTGATCAAACTAACTTGTACTTTGACTAAGCTTAAATAGTGAGATCAGCAAGTTTTTCGTATTAACAATCCAAACCCAAGAAATTAAATTAAATTTTAGTTTAACTTTTAATTGGTTGAATTTAGGCAAAGTTCGTTTTGTAAATACGAAAAACTTGCTTGACCCGCCATTTTTGCTTAGTAGAAGTCATAGTTTGTTTTATAACTTTCAGCCTTAGACTCAACAAACATAAGTGTGACCTACCTTATACCATTCTATGTGAGGAGGCGGAATAGCAGTTGCATTGCAAGAGAAGTTGAATAATTGAAATGGAAATACTTCTTCCACTTGCTCTTGTGGTTCTTCAATTGCAGGTGGCTGAAGCGCTACAATATACACATTTTTTCAAACTTATGATTCTATACATATACAAGTTACTAACGTAATAAGTTGTTGTTTATAACGTTAGTAATACAATCCTGCGAGGTTGTTGGTATTTTACAAATATCCTATATACTAAAAGAATCAAGATAGCGCAGTACACACGATAAAAGTGTAGACTTCGAAACAATTCGCTAAAAACTAAAAAGAAACATGCCATTATATATGGATTCTGTACCCACCTACTCAATCAAATCGATGTCAATCGGCAGACTGAAAATCCTTTTAATTCAGTTTACCATTGATACAAAGCGGTATTACTTATTACTTATAATTTGTAGATTCATAGTTAGCGCAAGAAAATACATAGTCGGTTGATGTTTAACGCCATCTAGTATTAATACTGATTCTTTTGTTAGTTGTAGCTATGATTATTTTCCTCTTTC